TCAAATTCAAAAGCTCTGGCCATTGCATCCTGCATAGTAGAGGGGTGTGCTTGGTTTACTTGTATCTTCGGTTGTGGACTTTCCAAGGCATCTACAAACTGATCCCTCAGCAACAACTTGAGGACATCGGGTGGTGCAGTTGGGTAGGCCTTGTGTGCTATACTTTCCAAATTCTATGCTAGCTCTTGCAGGCTCTCCCCTTTAGCATGGACTCTCATCTTGAACCTAGCCTTGTAGACTTCTGACTGATTTTGAGTTCCATATCTCACTTCTAGAGCAGCTACCAGTGCTTTTTCTTTGTGCCTGTCGTCTGCTGACAACTGTTCAAGTATTTCCAGTGGTTGTCCCTTCAAGCTCGTTGCCAGGTACACTGCCCCTGCTCTTCTGTCCATCCATTCATTTTTGCCAGGAGCTCAAATTGTGCTCTATATGTTTCCCATGGTGCCTTCCCATCGAATTCCTCTGGCTTCCTTCGTATTTGATCACCCCTGTTGCTGACATTCATATCTGGGATGTGACTTCTGACAGGACTGATGATGTTTTCATTAGGGTTTAGCTGCGGGGTCTGGAAGGGGCTTGCTATTGTCTGGGGCTGATTAGGTTGATGGTTAATGTATCCTCCTTGTGTAAATGGCCCTCCAGTAGCACAGCGGTATGTCTGCGGACTTACAACGCTAGAATCCGGGTTTCGATACCCGTGGTGGGCAGAGCACAGATAGCCCATTGTGTAGCTTTGTGCTTAATTACAAATAAACAAATTACAAATAAACCTTGTGTAAAATACAATAAATCATCCTTTAATGTATTTAATTTGCTTTTAAATTTACTGATGTTTTCCATTTGTACTTCTTGTTTCCTTTCTTGTTCCAGTTGCCACTGCTGTAGTCTCCCTTCTTGTTTATGTTCTCACTCTTCTTGTTTTTTTTCTTTTTCCTCCAACAGCTGTTGTAATCTCTTTTGTTTATTTTGCTGTTCGAGATGCCAGTATTGCAGGTTTTCTTGCCACTGTTGTAATCTCTCTTCTTGTTTCTTTCCTTTTTCCTCCAACAACTGCTGTGATCTCTTTTGTTTATTTTGTTGTTCGAGCTGCCACTGTTGCAGGTTTTCTTGCCACTGGTGTTGTCTCTCTTCTTGTTTCTTTTCCTGTTCTTCATGTTTATTTTCTTTTTCCTCCAACAACTGCTGTAATTTCTCTTCTTGCTTCTTTCTCGTTCTTCTTGTTTCTTTTGCTGTTCTTGTATTGCTGCCGTCAAATCTGCTAAGCTGTCGTTTGATTTGTCACTTCTCATTTCCATCTTCTTTTTTCTCTCTCTTTTTTTCAGTTCCACTCTCTAAACCAATTTGTTCGTTTGTTAATTTTCCGTATAATTTATTTCGGATGAAACTTCAGCGACACAAGTCCTTTCTTAATCAAAAGTAGTTTATTCCCTCTCAATACAACTTTGCAATACACTTAATTTCCACAGTTACTTTAACTTTAACACACGCTATAATTCACAACGATTCACGCACTTTCTACCATGCTTGACTCTCTGTCTGCAATCATATCTCGATTAATTAATTTCGCTTTACCTGGCGCGCTTATATACAAGACTAGAGGGCGCGTTGAAAAGACCAGAGTTGCCACGAACAGACATGATCTTTTTAGAACCTCATGACGTGTTACTAGGGTCACGTGACTTCCACTGTAGTAACAATACAAATACCTTCACAATTGTGTAGCTATTTTGACACTGTCGAATCCCATAATGGCTGGAGATGGGTTGAATGGGTAATGAAGAAAAACTTTAATATAAGTTTAACATAATAGCAAATGTACAACGTTTCGACAAGGTTTTGTCATCATCAGTTTTGTCGACATCTTGTACATTTATGTTATGTTAAACTTACATCAGAGTTTTTCTTTATTACCCATTCAAGCCGTCTCCAGCCATTATTAGTCCCAAAGTGGGTTTCTCGTCGTCGAATGTCGAATCCCAATGTCATCCCTATGGCAGAATGCGCATGTGTATGGGATTAGCGAGACAATCTTGCAAATTATCCTTTTACATTTAAGTTATCTATAAACTCGTTAATGTTATAATTTCTTGTTGATTTAATTCTGTTAAACAAGATATTTTAGGTACTACTAATGCTACTTTTCGTTATTATACCAATTTACTATTGTTTATTTAATTTATAAAAAATAATTTTGTTTGTGTGCTTTTTTAATTTATAAATATTAAAATAATGCCTCTCTCTCTTCACTCAGCAAACGGGTACCATATGAGTTATTAAAATATTAGTTAACCCTAGTAGTAGTAGTAGGTAATCGGTCCTATAACGTGCAAACAACTATTAATATTTTGTTAATCTTTGACAGCTCGCCATGATATTCACTTTCAGCAATTTGTCACCACGATAGCTCAAAAACTAAAAAGTTACAGGGAGGTATTGAATTTGAAAAAAAAAGAAGAAAAAAGAAAATATTAATCCTAATAGTAATACTTATGCAGTATAGTAACGGGTGAAGAAAACCCATCGTGCATGTTCACGTAAATGCAAATAATTAAATTAAAAATCAAGTGTATTTTGTTGGTATCAAGTATGTAGAAATGTCAGTAATTCAACTTCTGAATGGTTCAAAAGTATTTCACTTTTCATTAGTTACAGTTTTTCGTGTTTTAGTTTAATATTATATAGGAAGTTATATAATCTAGTCAATAGAGTAAAAACCTGATCTTTAGTCATTACATAATACGTGTTTCAACTGCATCAAACTGTTGGTAAAGGTTTTCTTGGTGTTTTAATACTTGTATTAAAGTCACATTATTTCATTTAATGTCACTCTTAGTCTTAGTATATAGATGTGAAAAAGATAAAGCTTATAATTTGATATGAAAGCTATCAAGTTGACGTGAATTTCGAGAATAGTATTTATTGAATTTTTTAAGATTTATGAAGGATGTGACTTTTATTTCTTGTTTCTCTGTAGTCTAACTGAAAACGTTTTTTTTACAGAATATAAAGGTGAAGCTTCTAGGTAATCATGGAAGTATTAAAGATGAAGGTTGAACCCTTTCCTGATGAGAAGCAGGATGATTTGTTGGATATCAAATTGAAAAAGGAAGATGAAACTTTCACAATAACTAGTAGTAAGTTTATATATCTAGAATTTTAATGTTTTGTTTTCTTAACATAATATGAATTTCACCTGTTCTGATTTAGCAGTGTGACTTAATTTATCATTGTTAATCTGAAATTTGTTATCACAATTTTTTCCTGTATCAGAGATTTATATCAGTAACTAAAATTGGTTATTTTAGTCTTTAATATCAGGAACCTAATACAGTAACACTTTTGTAATCTTATTCTATACCATCACCTGTAATTAAGGTTAAACTTGAGTAGTTGCATCATACTTACCAACAATTCTCCATATACCCACATTCCATGTGGCTTATTAGCTGTTTTGGAAGATTTTCCTTCTCTAGTTGAGACCTTATTAGTTATTTGACTATGGAAGCTCATCAGTGCTTTGTTGACACTCAATTATCATTATATTGGGATCAGACAATGAATTTAGAAGGGATCTGTTACATATTTCACTGTTCTATGAAGTAATAATAACTTATAAATGTATTTGGATCGAACTGGATGTACAGGGTTTTTATCAATGCTTTGTAGGTCCTGATTGAACAATATATATGGATTGAATATGAGTGTACAATGTACCAGGATATATTTGATGTTTTGTTGGCTCTCATTAATCAACAGATTTGTATTAACTATGGATGTACAAGTGAAATGTTTATGCTTTTTTGTTTATGTTTGATTCATGAATGTTAAGTAATTTTGGGTTCCCTCAGTGTTATTTCCAGTTCAAATCAGTGCCAATGTAGTGGAACATTGCCCAGTTCTGAAATGGTACCACCTCATCCAACTCCAAGCTCTCTCGACCTTAATTTGCCCTCTAAGCATTGCTCAAATTTTTTTCAACAGTGCACCAGTTTTTTATGCCCCTTCATTTTTGCACCATTGTAGCAACATGTGATAATCATGTGACTACCCTTCACCAATCATACTGTGCCACCTATACTAGCTCAGGTAGCTCCCTCTACCATTGCAGCACAATCCTCATTTTTTCAATTGGCATTCTAGTGTATAGACGTGTGTTTTAAGTCATTCTCCATGTGAGTACAAGATTTTGATTGTGCTTGATCACAAATTTATGAGTTTCAGTTTATTGTGTTTGATTTCCATTGTTTCTACTCATTTGTTTTAGAATTGTTTCTGAATTCAACTTTGTTTATATTAATTCAAGATTTAATATGACAGATGTTGAAATTCCTGCCGTCAGTAGAATACTAGTCCCCAGATCTCAGTGTCGGTGATGGCTGCTGGGGAAGCACAGGCTTTAGTTTGCGGGAAGTTTGTGTCTAACGTTCAGCCAACGATTTTTCCTGTCAGGTTATGATTTTTGTGAAGACGATATAACTACTGTGTAGAAATTGTCTTTCCACCTGTTACTATGTAATCTGCTAGGTTATGTATTGTTCTTCTGTGGTAAGTTTTTCAGTGTGTACTTCTCACTCCTAGTAGGTATACCCATGTTTAGTGACTTTATGTTAGCTTGTGTGGATGGACCTAATTTAACACTTGATAATTTACATCATTCATGTCTTCTCTACTTAGTGTTGAGTAAGTTAGATTTTGATATTTCTTTTACCATCTACATTAATTTAGTTTAAACTTGTGTTTGGAGTTTGATTATTACTTTGTTTTTGTTTGCATATTTACTTCTTTTTACTGTTAATGTTATTTTGTTTGTAAGTTCCTTTTTCATTAATACTAGTCACGTCTAATTGGGAATTAGATTAGAGTTAAACTTTGTTATTGTTAACTGGTTCCATTTTTATTCTCATGTTCTTTTGGGTTGGTTTTATTTTCATGTTCTTCTTCTTATAGATTCTTTGGGTGGACTTGTATGTTCAATATTTAATGGTCATTTATCTTCTAAGTTCCTTTAGTGGTTTTATACTTTGGGTATTACATATTGTTTTATGTTTTCTGTTGAGTTTATTAGTTTTTCAGGTTTGTTATTTTTCTTACTTTGTGGACTTTACATGTTTCTACATTTTGTTAGTTCGTTAGTAATGAGTACTTTCAGTATGTTTAATTCATGTGTCTTTGGCTACACTTCACTATAATTTTTTGGGTTCTATGGGTTCAGTCTTTGTGTTTTTGCCTTCTGTTTTGCTTTCCTTTATCCACTTCCCAGATCTTCTCCTTGAGATCATACTTTGTCCAGTTGTTTTGCTGAGTTTGTTCGAGACCTACTATGTAAAGGAGCTATTGAATTGGTGGTGCCCAATCAATCATGATTTTACTCCCATCTATCTGTTGTATCCAAAATAAGTGGGAGATAGGAATCCCATCATAGCTATTTCCCAGCTGTATTCTTATCTGGAGAGAGCTCACTTCACTCTGGAGTCTCACTTAGATGGGATTTTTTGCCCCAGTGTCTCGTCATTTTCCTTTGGTATGTCCATGAGGGTTTCTGTTTTCCAGTTCTGGGTGCTGCCTTTCAGTCTTTCTTTAAATCCGTATGTGTTTTGTTGAGTAGTATGCTCTTTTGCACATCATCTTCACTCCGAGTCGTCAGACTTCCTATTACATGGACGACTGGCTTCTGCTCGCCTCTTCCCATGCTCACTCAGTCACTCACACCTGCTAAATTGTTTGAGAATATGCTTGGGTGGAGTTTCTCATCATGTTGGAGAAGTCCTTTACTACCCCCTCCAAGTATCTTATTCATTTGGGGTTCTTTTCACTTCCCATCTCAGTCGAGCCCAGCCTTCTCCACTTTGGCTTAGAGATATGGAGCAGGCAGTCATGAAGGCCCTACCTTTTCTTTCTCTTTCTGCATGAAAGGTTTTCTTTCTTTTGGAGTTGTGGGCTTCCTTAGAAGCTCTCATTCCCTTTGGTCAAGTGCATATGCATTCCCTTCATTGAATGCTGCTTGCCCAACAGAACTTCCCCAAGATCTCTTGGACCATCCCATCTCCCTTCCACTTGGGATCAGGGCTGACCTTACTTGGTGGCTTGACAGGGCTTTGATCACAGTGTGGGTTACCATTCCTCTGTTTCATACTGAGTCTCCTCTGTTTACAGATGCTTCCTTGGTGAGTTTGGGATGCTCTCCTTGATTCCCCAGAGATTAGGGTTGGTAGTCAGTCAAGGAGGTTACTCTCTATTTTCACATCCTGGAGCCTTTTGCAGTTCATTAGCTCTGAATTATTTCATCCCATTGCTGTGAGGGTGGGTGGTTATGGTTCATTCAGAAAATTCCACTTTTATCAGATATATTCCCAAGCAAGGGCAAACCAAGTCCAGATCTCTGTGTTTTCTGACTCAGGATTTTCTGTACTTGATCACTGACCACAACACAACTGTTCTGGCTTAGGCTGTTCCTGGAGTATATAAATCTTATGCCCAATCACTTATCACATCCCATACCAGATTTTCTTCATGGAGTAGTCCCTTTATCCTTAGGTTTTGCTGCGGGTGTGTTCTCAACTGGGAACTCCACACACACACACACACACACACACACACACACACTACTTTCTT